AGACTCTTATCTCCAATAAACCACTAGAAAACTGGAAGTGGTGCTGTGGCTCAAGAGGTAGAGCGCTGGCCTTGAGCTGAAGAGCTGAGGGACAGTGCCCAAGCCCAGAGTTCAAGCCCCATGACTGACCAAAAAAAAAAAAAAGAACTAACAACCTTGGTTAGTCTGGGCACCAGTGAGTGGCTCACACCTGTAATCCTAGCTACTCAAGAGCTGAGATCTGCGGATTACAGTTCAAAGCCACACCAGGCCGACAAATCGGAGGAACTCAACTCCATTTAACCAGCAAGAAGCTGGTAATAGAGATATGGCTCAAATGGTGGAGTGTCAGTCTTAAGAAGCTAAAGGCAAATACCAAGTTTTCAGTTCAAATCCCAGTACCTGCAAAATAAAAACAAAAATAAAAACAACAACAAAAAACCTACCAACCTTGAGATTTTCTTCCCCCAACCCCCAAGGATCCCACAAGAAAGGAGAGGGTACGGACAATATCTCTGTATGCTCTGCACTTGATGACTGACTGGAAGTTGTCCTTGAAAGGACCTTGAATTGTGCACAGATTCCCTGACCCTCTAGCATGGAGATTTCCAAGACATTCTGGCCATGCTGCAGAGTTCAGCCAAAGGGAAACATTGCATGAGGAACCAGGCACCCACTATGGCTGGAGCCAGATAAGACTGCTGATGAAGGCAAAGGCTGGTGGCTGCTGGAAGGCCTGCTCAATTCAAGCAGGAAAATGTGTCATTTCCTCCCTGGCTTCTATATAATTTCTCTGCGGGGTGCGGGTGGGGGCGGGGGAGGTGGGAGTCTTGTGAGAATTCAGAATGGGCCTGGGTGGGGTGAGGGGAAGGGCAGACACATGGGAAAAGCCAGTCAGAGTGGAAGAGTAGGATTTAACGGGCTGTGGCTACACCCTGTTTAAAAGCCCCAGCGTATTTTTATTTATTTCTTGGCTCATTCTCAGCCTCCCTTTCGAACTGTGTTCTCATCCCTTTTTAATTCAGTGCTGGGATCTCAGCTCATTCACTCCTCCCCCACCTCCTTCTCATATACAAAATCTCACTCCTCTTTTGGCTATGTACATTTTTCTTCAAAGCCAAGAAACATCCAGAGCTGGAATGATGCTCCCCCCCTTACACCACAAAGGCGGCTTCCTTGTCCCACCTAATAGTGCAGACACACACACACACACACACACACACACACACACACGAGCGCACAAATCCCATGGGCTGGTTATTTTAGAGTCCTGATTTATTTAGCAGCCACCCCCAGCTCCCTCTCTCTCTCCATCTAGGCAAGGTAATGGAAGGAAAGGGGAGAGTGTGGTTTGGCACCAAGCTACAGGATTCAGAAAAGGAAGAGCTTGTTGGATTTAGTGCTTTCTGTTTTGCCGATGAGAAAACTGGGGCCCGCAGAAACCAGAGTCTGTCATTTAGAAGGAGCACCTGCACAGGGATGGGGCCAGATCACGGCTTCAGATACTGACACTTACATCCCCAGAGCAAATTGGTAATCCACACCATAGTGCCCGCTTGTATTCATAGGTAGCATTTCACCAGGAGCGATGCTAAAAGAACCTAAAATAGAAGAGTGCACCATTGTCCAACTCACAGATGATCAGTCTCTTCTAAGATCATAGTAGCCTGTCAGTGTCATGGGATATTACAAAATGTTCTTAAGTCCCCCACCCACCTGAGGGATTAGCAATGGCTTTATTCCAGACTAAGATGGATGGACAAGAAACAGTGCCTGAAACAATAGACCTTGAATTTAAAGCAAAGGTGCAGGTCCAGCCAGGCCCAGATGGCTCATGTTTGTAATCCTAGCTACTCAGGAATCTGAGGGACCCAGGACCCGGGTTCAAACCCTAGTACAAGTACAAAAACAAAACCATAAAAACAACCTACAGACTGAGGTCCTATTAAGCCACACCTTAGGGGTCAGCTGGACTGCAAATCTTCTCTCCCTCAGACTGATGGCACTGTACCTACAAATTGAGTCACCTAACAGTGCCCTTTCCCCCGTGGGCTGGTCCTGGGAATGGACTTAATGCCATAAGCCCCCAACCTTCAATAAAAACTTGTGCGGTTGTAAACACTATTCTTCTCATGTTAGAGTTGATCTGCTTTCTATCTATTGAAGATATATTCTTTCCCTAGCAAATTCTGCTTTCTTGGACTTTATTTATTTGTGATTTTTTGGTTCTTTGCCTGCATTTTTCTCTTGCTGGAAGCAAGAATCAAGACAGCTGTGTTGATCTTCCAGTAAGGGGTATATACAGCCAGGGTTTTAATGGCAATCACAAGCCCACCTCTATTCAAGTCTTCCTCCAACCTCCCCGGAAGTAGGGCTTGCTCTCAGGCTCATCCACACTCATGCCTCTGACCTCCACCTTCTGAAGCCATGGGAGACATTCCTTACTTGTCCTGTTTCTTCTTTGAAAGCACCAAACAAGTTGGGACAATTCTTATTGGCAAGATGTGTGTCCACAGTTTTAACCTCACCAGCCAGCAGGCATTGCATTGTTCACCTCTCAAAGTATTCTAGAAAAGAAACTAGCTCCCTCCCTCTCGTCAGCCCTCCCTCCCTGCCCAGCCCTCCCTCACTCGATACCACACACGCCCAGCCCACAGGATCTGAAGGACTTGTGCAAGGAGAATTTCTTGTTCTGCTGACTCATCTCCTGCTTGGAGACGGAAGATCTTTTCCAACATGGAAAGGGGGGAGTTTTGTAACTTCTGATTTTTTTTTTTTAGATGAGCCTAGGCATATAGTTGCCTGGCACGTAGTAAGGCTAAACAAATGAGCTATCAAATCCCTATACAATGACTTGAACTCAGAGTGGTGAGCCTTCAGACTGCTGGGCTGCCTGGGAAATCCCACAAGGCCAAGGGTGCTTAGCTTCTACTTTAAAGGGAGGGAGGCCCTTGGCCATTGGCCTAGAGAAGAATGTGAAGGAGGCATGACTGGCTGTCACTGGTGAGAGCTAACAATGGGACAGCCAGGCTTGGTATTCTATATGGTCTCTGACCGAGAACAAAGGCATACCTCCTCTTCTAGCCAAACCTAAATCAAGGGAGCGATGATTCACCTCAGCTAGGAAACAGCAGGAAATCCGTCAATAGGATTTACATTCAGTAGGCCAAGGAGCCAGACTTTTGCTGAAAGAGATGGGATCTTGGGGAGAAAAACAATCCAGGATCCTGGTAACATTTGTGCCTTACAATCTACATAGCTTTGGGCTGGGAAGGTGGCTCAGTGGTAGAGCGCTTGCCTTGCATGCCGAAGGCCCTGGGTTCGATTCCTCAGCACCACATAAGCAAGCAGAAAAGGCCGGAAGTGGCGCTGTGGCTCAAGTGGTAGAGCGCTAGCCTTGAGCTGAAGAGCTGAGGGACAGCGCCCAGGCCCAGAGTTCAGGCCCCACGACTGGACTCAAAAAAAAAAAGAAAAGACAAAAACAAACCAGCAATCTACATAGCTTTAACTTAAAAATATATAAACTGTCAGGTGGCTGGTGGCCCATGTTTATGTGTCTTTGCTACAGAGCAGACCTCTGAGATCTCAGGACCATGATTCGAAGGCAGCCTAGCCAGGAAATTGTGAGACTCTTATCTCTAATTAGTCACCCAAAAAGCCAGAAGTGGAGCTGTGGCTCAAGTGGTAGAGTGTTAGCCTTGAGCAAAAGAAGCTCAGGGACAGCTCTGAGGCCTGAGTTCAAGCCTGAGGACTGGCACACACACACACACACACACACACACACACACACACACACACACACACAAGCATGAGGGGAACATGAGGATGCATTATAATTATAATCTTACACTTATGGCCTGGTACTGGTAGCTGTAATTCTAGCTACTCAGGAGGCTAAGATCTGAGGACCATATCTCAAAGCTGGCCTGGCAGGTAAGTCTATAAGACTCTTATCTCTAATTAATCAGCAAAAAGCCACAAGTGGAGCTGTGGCTGAAGTGGTAAGGGACCAGCCTTGAGTGAAAAAGTTAAAGGAGCCGGCTCACATCTGTAATCCTAGCTACGAAGAGGCTGAGATCTGAGGATCGTGGTTCAAAGCCAGCTCGGGCAGGAAAGTCCATGAGACTCTTTTTTTTTGGGGGTGGGGGGGAAGGGTCCGGTCCTGGGGCTTGAACTCTGGGCCTGGGCGCTGTCCCTCAGCTCTTCAGCTCAAGGCTAGTGCTTACCACTTGAGCCACAGTGCCACTTCTGGCTTGCAAGGCAAGGGCTCTACCACTGAGCCACCTTCCCAGCCCTCCATGAGACTCTTATCTCCAATAAATCACTAGAAAACCGGAAGTGGTGCTGTGGCTCAAGCGGTCGAGCGCTCGCCTTGAGCTGAAGAGCTGAGGGACAGTGCCCAAGCCCAGAGTTCAAGCCCCACAGCCAAAAAAAAAAAAAAAAGCTAAGGGACAGCATACAGGCTTTGAGTTTAGGCCCCTGTACCAGCATAATCACACAGACACACAGACACAGACAGACACAGACACACAAATTCTATTCAGGTTGTTGGAAATTTTTCATAACAATGTTTTAAGAATTTGGATTCCAATTTTGGCTAATTTTTAGTGTTCTTCTATGAGTTTTATTTCTGTATTTTCACATCCCCTTGTGTAATAGGGGTATGCCTATCTGAATGTATCCCTTTTTGGGCCAAGAATGTTAAGAGAACTTGTGAAATCATGTCTATCAAGGCTTTTAATAGGTAATAAGGATATATTGAGATGTGATTGTTCTAAATGGCTCATCATCACTTTCCCATAAAAATGAAGATAAAGATTATATGGGGTGAAGGAGGGAGATTTCTCTGAGAAAACACCCAGTGGTGGGTGACAGTCCTGTCTCTACACTAGGCTGCCTGGCCCAGGACATGAAGATCGAATGCGCGGCGATCCATAGGGTCTCCTAGCCCCATCAGGCATCTGACATTACTGACTTTTTCCTGGGGATATCCCTCAGGGACAAGTCTTAGAAGAGCCTACCTGTGGAGAAGATGACTCCCACCGGCCAGGCCTTGGAGACTTCAAAGGTCACATCAGTCTGGGTGTTAACTACCCCAAGGAGGTAGCCATTGCTATCCAACATACAATCCCCTTTGCTATCCAACATACACTGCCTTTTCTTTTTTCTTTTTTTTTTGGGGGTCCGGTCATGGGGCCTGAACTCTGGGCCTGGGCGCTGTCCCTCAGCTCTTCAGCTCAAGGCTAGCTGCTCTACCACTAGAGCCACAGCGCCACTTCCAGCTTTTTTCTTTTTGCTTATGTGGTGCTGAGGAATTGAACCCAGGGCCTCAGGCAGGCAAGGCAAGCGCTCTACCACTGAGCCACCTGCCCAGCCCCATATACTGCCCTTTCCAAGGAAAGCTGATTCCACACACTCTCTGGAGCTTTTAGCGCCAGTCTTTGTTGTACTAGCATTGAACCATCAGGCAAGGTTCTCACAAAAGCCTTTTTATATGTAACATAAAATTGTGGTTCCTCCCAGGCCAGAAAGAGACTCCTTTGCCACGCAGATTGATAGAAGTTTTGGGAAGTCTTCCAAAGCTGAAGCAGACCTACCACGATAACACACGTGACAAATGACTCTTGATGGGAAAGCATTGGTTACTTTTCTCTAGGAAATGTTTGTTTGGTGTTGGGAGGCAGTCTGCTTTGTCACCCAGGGTGGCTTCAAACTGTTGATATTCCTGAAGTACTGGGATTACGGACTCAAATGGCCTGGCCCTCTATTTGAAGGATTTAACGAAACAAATACTTGTCAGTGGCTGGGGGTATAGCTCCATGGTAGATCTTGTGCCTCTTATACTCAAGGCCATGGGTTTAATGCCTAACACTCTGTAGAAAAATACATACATACATACTACATGCATACTACATGCATACATACATACTACATGCATACAGACAGACAGGCATGCTCAATCATGGAGCTATTCCTAGATTCAGTAACACACGAAATTTCTATTGTCAGGCTTTATTTTATTTGCCAAGATTTGTTGGTAAGGACGACTTTGTGTGTGTGTGTGTGTGTGTGTGTGTGTGTGTGCGTGCACGCGTGCACGTGCACGTGTGCCTGTCTGCTTTGTGCCTGCATCTCTCTACTTTTTCCCTGTCAAGGCTGCTACTTCTCCAACTGATAGGCTTTAAGTGACTCATGTCATTTTACCTGCCACTGTTTCTGTGAAGTCATGGAACCAAAATAAATATAGCTATTATAGAAGCAAGTGTGCCATGGAATCTGGAAAGCCAGATTCTAGGGCTTGTCTTGTTTTCTGTTTGTCTTGGTGGGCTCACTGAGCTGGTGCCCACCTTTGTCCTGTAGCCACAGTGACCATTTCCAGCCCCCAACATGCTCCTATTTCCCAAGGTGGTTAAGTTACTCAAGACCCATGTCCCACAGGGCCCAGGGCAGGGCATAGTCTATGACTAAGGATGCATTGGTAACCTAACTTCCCCCTACATGCCTTTCCACTCCTTCCAGAGGGAACTATGAAGGTAATTGTCCCTTCAGAAAATTGTCCCTTTTTTTGCAACACCTGTAATCCTAGCTACTCAGGAGGCTGAGATCTAAGGATCATGGTTCAAAGACAGCCTGGGCAGGAATGTCTATGAGACTCTTATCTCCAGTTAACCACCAGAAAACTAGATGTGGCACTGTGGCTCAAGTGGTAGAGTGCTTGCCTGGGGCTGAAAAGTTCAGGGACAGCACTCAGGCCCACAGTTCAAGCCCTAAGGCTGACCAAAAGTATATGTGTGTGTGTGTGTGTGTGTGTGTGTTATCACTCTGTAGTTCTGTGTGTGTGTGTATTATCACTCTGTAGTTCTGTGTGTGTGTGTGTATTATCACTCTGTAGTTCTGTGTGTGTGTGTTTGTGTGTGTGTGTGTTGGTGTGTGAATACTGGAACTGGAACTCAGGGCCTCTTGCTCTTCTTTAACTTTTTCACTCAAGGATAGCACTCTACTAACTTTAGCCATAGATCCACTTCCAGCTCTTAGCTAGCTAATTGAAGATAAGATTCTCAAGGACTTTTCTTCCTAGACAGGCTTTGAACCTCCAGCCTCAGATCTAAGCTTCTTTGTGTCGCTAGCATTACCGGCCTGAACCATGGGTGCTAGGTTCTGAATTGCTAATGCTCCCTGCAGAAAGAGTGGGCTGGGATGGAAGGGAGGGGTGGGGAAAGGGGCGGAACTTGAGTTCTGGCCCTGGCTCTGCCACTCCTGCCCCTGTCCCTGCCGGAACTCATTCTCTGTGGCACCTGGAGTAGGACGTGCTGGTCACATCATCTACACTCTCTGGCTAGTTGTGAATAACAGCAAGTGAGTTTTCCCATGCGGCCTTCGTCAACCCAGCTGGCCTCCCTGGGCTTCTCTTTCCTCCTCTGTGAAATGAAGTAACAGGCCCCCTTGAGCTCTGTTTTTCCTCTCAGCTTGAGTATTCTTTGCTTCGAGAAAGAACTTTCTAAATTTAACTGTTATCACTTCTATGTCAGCATGTTCTGGCGAGGGATAAATTCCAAGGGAACAAGTTTTAAGAATTTATCTTTCCCAGAGAAATAAAAATCTTGTTTTTCTTCTCAGGGTAACATTTAGGAGCTGAGGGCTGGGGAGGCGAGAGGAGCAGAATCTGGGAGATTAGTCATCCTCTAGAATTAGAGCCAATGGATGACTGCTTGTCACAGACTCAGGTAACTTTGTCACATTTGGAACAGCGTGGTGAAGACAGAAAAATTGCTCCCCCCTCAAAAAAATCTCATCAGTGCTGACATCTTGGTATATAACTTTCAGGCTGTTATATGCATGTGTATATTTTTAAATTTTTAAAATCAAAAGTGAATTCATCCTCAACCTAGTACTTACAAGCAGCCTGTTTCATAACATGTTTTTCCCCTTATGCCATTAAATAATTAATTACCCTATAATCTTGTAAGAGAAAATCCCTTTTATGGGGGGGAGGGATAGCTCTGTGGAAAAGTTTATGTTTCTTGGTAAGTGAGAAGCCTTGAGTTCATTCCCAGAACCAAAAAACCCCACACCAAACCCAAAACAACAACAATCCCTTTGTAAAAGAATCAATGGTCAATTCCTGCCTTTCCCAACAAGTATAATCTACACTTACGTACATTTAAAAGACCTCTGTGCCCTTTAGAATGTACTAGCTATATCTGTGATACAGGGTTTTTGACTACTTCATGTTTGAAAGGCAAAACACAGCAGAACACAGAAGAAGTCTGGAATAGGCCATTTTCCTTCTCTGATAAGGCCTGCTCTATGCCTTTCTGGGGTCTGGGTAGAACAATGGCACAGCCTGTTGTAGGGTAGTGGGGGGGACATTTCCGGGGCAGGCAGGTCTGGTATAAAATAATCCTAGTGTTGTTGAAGATGGTGTTATTTTCATTCCTGGAGAAAGGTGTGTAGTTCTTATCTTACCAAACCGTAAGAAAGAAACAAGGAGTGAGCAGGAAATTTAGACCCTTAGGCCTTCTGAGACCTGTAGTTTCCTTTTCTGGGTTATGATTGATTACTTCTGTTATTTAAAAGATGCTGTGCCCAGTACTGGCACAAACAAACAAACAAAGATACAGGTTGAAACACAGAAGTTCGCTGGACAAATATTTCAGATACTTGGCCACAGAACTTATGTTGGAAGTAGATATTAGTGACTGTGAGATAAAATTCTAGGGTGAGCCAGAGGCCAGGGGCTAACACCTGTAATAGCTACTCAGGAGGCTGAGGATCACGGTTGAAAGCCAGCCCAGGAAGAAAAGTCCATGAGATGCTTTTTTTCTTTCTTTTTTTTTTGGGTCTGGTCGTGGGGCCTGAACTCTGGGCCTGGGCGCTGTCCCTCAGCTCTTCAGCTCAAGGCTAGCGAGCTCTACCACTTGAGCCACAGTGCCACTTCTGGCTTTTTTCCTATGTGGTGCTGAGGAATTGAACCCAGGGCCTCGAGCATGCAAGGTAAGCGCTCTACCACTGAGCCACCTTCCCAGCCCCGAGATGCTTTTTTTCTTTCTTTTTTGTTGGTCATGGCACTTGAACTCAGGGCCTGGGCACAGTCCCTGAGCTCTTTTTGCTCAAGGATCCACCACTTGGAGCCATAGCTCCACTTCTGATTTTCTGGTGGTTAATTGGAGATTCGTCTCACGGACTTTCATGCCTGTGCTGGCTTTGAACTGCCATCCTCAGATCTCAGTTTCCTGAGTAGCTAGGATTACAGTCATGAGCCACTAGGTCCCAGCTATGAGACTCTTGTCTCAATAAAATTACCAAAAAAAGCCAGAAGTAGAGCTGTGGCTCAAGTAGTAGAGCACTATCCTTGAGCAAAAGAAACTCAGGGACCCCACCCAGGCCCCAAGTTCCAGCCCCAGGGCTGGTACATACTACACAAAAGTCTAGGGGGAGAAGCTTATCTTTCCTAATATACATCTTACTGCTCTCCCCTCCGCCCCCCTCTGTTGCAGACTGGGACTAGAACTTGGTATCTGATGCTTTCACACACTGGCTTGCACTCTATCTTCTGAACCATGCCTCCCACCCCCCAGTTACATTTTGTCTCTAAATTTTTCAAAACCATCACATTTATGTATGTATTTTAAACTGTGACTCTTTGTGTGTAGTGGTGAATTGCCTGTATTGCCAGTCTCTGGAAAGAGGTGGGCAGAAGGAGAGTCACACATTAGAGGCCAGCTTGGTCTGTATGTATCAAGACCCTTTCTCAGCCAGGTGCCAGTGGTTCAAAGTTGTGATCCTGGTTACTCAGAAGCTTGAGATCTGGAGGACTGAGATTCAAAGCCAGCCTGGGCAAGACAACTTCTAGAGACTTTAATACACAGCAAAAGGCAAGTCTGAAGAACTGGTTTAAGTGGTGTAGCATCAGCCTACCAATCACAAGAAACTGATTTCAAAGTGTAGTAACACACACACACACACACACACAAGAATCCATCTCAAAACTACATCATTATTCAAATTGCAACATAAAATATGCTCTTAAAAACATGCACCAATTTATCAAGAGCCTAATATCTAATAAAATGTGATCAAACACACAGAATAAAAGTTCAAAGACATATCACAACACTGAAATC